CTCCTCTTCTCTCCCTCACTCTCACTTATTCTCCCTTCCTTCCTCTCTCTCTAAAAATCAATGGAAAAAATATCCTTGGGTGAGGATTAAAAAAAAAAAAAGATTTCACTGCTGAAACCAAAGTTTGTGAAGAATCTTACTAAGAAATACCCTTTTTTATTCTTCCAAACAGTTACCAACCAGGGGAGAAAAATGAGGGAGGATCCTTCAATCCCAGAGCTGCCACTTAATGTCTTGCCTTGGAGGGGGAGTTATCTGACCTATCAGCACCTCCATGTTCCCATCTGTATAATGGGAATAATAATGAAAATCATAGTAATACTCCCTATCTCATGGAACTGCTGCGGTCATTCGGGGAGTTTACAATATATAATAAATTCAGATTATACCTTGGCCCATAGCACATTATCCAAGTCTTTATCACATCATCCAAGTGGTCATTATTATCACCAATAATAGCAAGTGCTTATATAAAAGCAACAGCCAAAATAATACTTGATACACACAGTCCTTCTTAAAACCACGGCCAAAACTATGGCCTGCTCTCACGACTGTCATTTGTCATTACTTGACAAGTTTCAAACAATTCAATAAGAAAAAAAAATGAGCCATAAATATTAGGAAAATAAATCACATGATCATTATTTGAGGGCTGATTATGGACTAAAACCAAAGAAATGAGGCGAAACAGAAACTCTATTAGATATAAGGCAAGAACTGAGTAAGCAGACAAGTTACAAATTAAATATCCCCAAAATCAATTTTCTTTCTATGAACCTGCAAAGTAAATTATTAAGGATAATAAAAATTCCATTCACAGGAGCAGCACAGCTATACAGTATCTAGGAATGGAATTTAATAGTAAATACCCCAAAGGCTGTATGATGAACCCCTGGAGTTTACCAACGGATAACAAGGGAAATTTAAATAAATGAAGAAATGGGCTGAATTCTGAGAAAGCAAGGCCCAGCCCCATGTAATATCAATTCTCCTTATGTTAATCTATCAAAGGACAGGAAATCAAAATGCCACTGGGCAATTTCAGACTTGGCAAAGGAATTCCACTTTAAAAGACCCCATGGCAACCATATCCAGTAATATTATCAGAATAAAGAGTAAAAAAAAAAATATGGCCCAGCCAGCGTGGCTCAGTGGTTGAGCATCGACCTATGAACGAGGTCATGATGGTTCCATTCCCAGTCAGGGCACATGCCCAGGTTGTGGGCTCGATCCCAAGTGGGGGCGTGCAGGAGGCATCCAATCCATGATTCTCTTTCACCACTGATGTTTCTTTCTTTCCCTCTCTCTCTCCCTTCCTCTCTGAAATCTATAAAAATAAATATGTATTTTTAATCCTCACCTGAGGATATGTTTCCATTGATTTTTATAGGGAGTGGAAGAGAGAGGGAAAGACAGAGAGAAACATTGATGTGAGAGAAACACGTCAATTGTTTGCCTCCTGCATTCACCCCAATCAGGGCCCGGGCCGGGGAGGAGCCTGCAAATGAGGTACATGCCCTTGATTGGAATCGAACCCGGGACTCTTTAGTCTGCAGGCTGACGCTCTAGCCACTAAGCCAAACTGGCTGGGGCAAAAATATGTATTTTTTAATAAAAATAAAAATAAAATGTTTAAGTACTTGGAGTTCATTCAAATTCCAGAAATTAGTCTTAAGAGATTGGGAATAAATGAGGCAGGGAATTCATTTAAAAATCGTGCCTTCCTTCTGCCCTTTAACCTCTCCCCCCCCCCCACATCTGCTTCCTGTGTGGTCCAAACAGCCAACCAGTATATGCCCCATTTGCACAGAACCCGTCGCCGACCCTGCGTGACGCTGGGGCTACATCCCCACCCCACTTCCCCCAGATCTAGTCATTGAACAGAGTTCTCCTCTTCCTCTGGAATGAGCCTGCAGGCAGACCTCAGGACTCCCAGCTCTTCAGCCACAGAAGTTCAGACTAGAAGGAGCCTGTGATATGCAAATAGACACTTTCATCTTCATGCAAAGGCAAGGCTTCCCTTAGTCCAGGGTTGGTAGTGAACCTGCTGCCACTTGCATGAGGCTGGGGCTTTGAGCGGGAGGTGTGAAGTGGTCCCTTCTTCTGACTCCAGCGTCTCAAACTCAAAGGCCAACATGGGCCCAATAAACAAGGTTTAGGTGTATGTGGGCCGCAAGAAAACAGAAGCTTCCGTTTTCACAGGAATGTAGGTTTATGTCGATAGAGACATGCTGAATACAAAGGGCCAAGATAAATGAGTCCAAGTTAACATAAGACAATAGAACATTTTAATAAAATTAATCTTTTTTCTCGGAGATGAACGTACCAGACACTGAGTAACTACACAGATGAATAAGCGTCACACAAATAAACCTATTTTTCTTGTTCTCCGAAAGCGAAATATTTCCTGTGGCGCACACCAAACAAGTCAGTCCAAGACAAATGATGTGGCCATCGGCTGGTCACTGTCTTTGATGTCAATGACTTGGTCAGGACATGGATGTCAGGCAGAGGTTTCTTGATGGAAAGGTAGAGGAGCGTGGAACATGCCCACTCATCCCACTTCAGCCCGCATAGCTGATTGTGTCTGCTAAGAGCAGGGAGCAGTAGTCCTTGCCAGGCTGCGTGAGCTTCTTACTGACTTAGTAGAAATCCAGTGGGCCATGCAAGAAGAGCAAGCATCTGTCAAGTCAGGATTCATTCAGAACCACACTGTGAGCATCCGGGGTACTCTTCTGGGAGCTAGGAAGCCAGCAGTGAACAGAACGGACATATTTCCTGCTCTCATGGAGCTTACATCTGGTGGGTAAAGATAGATAACCAAAAACAAGTTGATCTATCAGACGGGGTAAATAGCATGAAGAGAAATGAAAGAGGCTAAGGGGGATCTGGGTGTTGGGGGAAGGGGAGGGGTTGCTGTGTCATATAGCGTGACCGTTGTCCAGAAAGAAGAGAGAGGCCATCTGTCGAGGTATCTGGGGAAAGAGCTTTCGAAGTATAGGGAATAGCAAGACTAGGGTGGGCAGGGGTAGGGGTCAGGCAGAAAAAAAGAGAAGGATTAACGATTATTATCTTGCAGACCTTCAGGTAAAAAAGTAAATGTGGAAATAGCAGATCTGGAGTTTATTTGTTGAGGGAACCAGCGGGCTCAATGGTTACTCAGTTAGACAGGCCCTGCATCGGATTCTGTTTGATGCCAAGTGCTCTGCATCCCTGGCATCTTGGTAACCTGCATGAGACATCGTGAGATCATTAAGAGGTGGGCCCACTCACGTGGCCTATATCTCTAGCCTTTCCAGAAGCCAGGGTGGACCAGATACATGACACGCTTCCTTTTCCTCTTGGATCGTTGGGTGAGTTTCTGCTATACTTTTCTTAAAATCGATTCTTCCTCTGCCCTTTTACTGGATGTGAAGAAAACCCAGGTTTTGATCTACACCAGGGGTCCTCAAACTTTTTAAACAGGGGGCCAGTTCACTGTCCCTCAGACCATTGAGGGCCGGACTGTAGTTTAAAAAACACTATGAACAAATTCCTATGCACACTGCACATATCGTATTTTGAAGTAAAAAAACAAAACGGGAACAAATACAATATTTGTATTTGCATGTGGCCCGCGGGCCGTAGTTTGAGGATCCCTGCCTGAAGGTGTCGGATGCTAACCTCAAAAGAAAAATAGAGTCCGCCAGCAAGGCTCAATCAGTGGTTGAGCATCTACCTATGGACCAATATTATATAGGATTATGTATAACTGGATATTGTCAAAATTAAGTCACGAAATTTTTATTAAAACGTTTCTTACATACGATTATATTGGCTGGGCCGCAAACATATTCATCGTGGGCCACATGTGGCCCGTGGGCCGTGAGTTTGACATGCTTGTTCTAACTCCTATGTTGCAATGTTGAGGGCCTCCTGGGTTAGACCTAACCAAAGGTCAGGAGGAGGAGAGACCCAGTCTCGAGGGGTGGGGGCAATTACCCTCCGGGATTGGGGGAGGAGGGGTGTATAATTGTGATTCTTGGGACTTACTTCTCACTCTCTTCTGTAATGACTGCTCACACCAGCGCTTTGTAAGGATTCTGAGAATGGAATCAAGGGATGATACCAAAGGAACAGATTTCTTGTTGCTATGTCTTTACTAGACCTTAAGGCAGGGGTCCTCAAACTTTTTAAACAGGGGGCCAGTTCACTGTCCCTCAGACCGTTGGAGGGCCGGACTATAGTTTAAAAAAAAAACTATGAACAAATTCCTATGCACACTGCACTTATCGTATTT